TTACATAATATCATAACATAGTGCTCATTTGTTGAAAATTCAACAGAGAGTGTTATTAAATATCATTACTTTTCTGAACACAGATCATAATCAATATCATTTTAATTAAAAAAAAAATGTACAATATAAAAAATAACAAAAAAACAAAAAATAAAACAATAAGAAAAAATCAAAACAAAAAAAAAAAAAAACAAAAAAAGAGAAAGAAAAAAAGAAGAGAAAGAAAAAAAGAGACAGAAAGAGAAAGAAAATTAAAAAAAAAAAGAAAAGAAAAAGAAAAAAACAAAAAACAAAAATAAAAAAAAATCAAGATTGCAGAGCTGCAGCATTCTCAAAATACTCACTCTTCAGAGTCTTTGCAATATTCATTATTAATCATGTATTTCTCACAGTGAGAGTAACACAGCTGTGATGAGCTATTGTCTTAACATTATCTAACAAATAATCAGTATATATCTATATAAATGTGAATAATTAGAAAACATACACTTAAAAAGTGTGGTCAGAGTGAACTCTGCTGTCACTTGAATGACATCAAGAGCAGAATGCTGAAATTGATGATTTCTCTCATTGATTTCACAGACAAGGCACATGAAGGTGATCTTGAGAAATATAAGATCTTCAGACTTCTAGTAGAAATGAATCTCACAGAGAGACTCTATTTTCATTATATCAGAGACTGAGTATTATTAAAAAGTGTTACTTTAATACACATGCACTTACTGTGATGATTCACTCTCTGCACATGTGACTGAGAGTTGCAGCTTTCTCACACTGCACAGCTCTCTCTGAAATGCTGCTGCTGATTTGCAACTCATACAGTCTCTCAGTTCAGCATACACTGTGCATATGCAGTCCTGTGTGCTGGGGCTGTGTTAATCATTATGGCCTGATGTGGTACTCGCTTTTCACAGGCCATGTTTTGTTTGATTGAGAGGAGGAAAGGGGACGCGACTGCTGTTTTATTTAGAGAGGGATGAGTAATTGAATCTGTAGAAGATAGAAGGTAATTTGATTTCTTCTGTATTTGAAATTTGATTAGTCTATACTCTTCAATTTGAGGATTTCTGAGAGTGTTTTAATAGTTTTCATATCAGCTTGAAATTAGTGATTGATTGAATAAGAGAAAAGAGAGAAGAAAGAAATGAGAACAACTTATCTTTATAATATGAAAACAGAGAATTGCTGCAATCATTTGTCCTAGTAACAAAGATCTGTTTTCTGTATGTATCTCTGATACAGATTATATGATAACTGCATACAAAGAATATCAACAGTGCATGTATTGAATGAAGATGATGTTGCTATGCAACACTGTAGCTGTTTCTGTACATCACTGAAAGCTGTTAATATTTTCTTTGAGTCTCTTTATATTTGATAAGTCAGTAATATATTTCAATGCACTTCTTCTTTCATTATCATTATTATCATCATCATCATCATTATCATCATCATTATTATCATCATTATCACTATCATCATCATTATTATCATTATCACTATCATCATCATCATCATCATTATCATCATTATTATCATTATTATATCATTTCTGGCCGTCTCTTCTGCCTTCACTTCTCTTCAACACTCACTGAAATCAATTATGTCATTCCTCTTCAAATATTTTGCAGTTCTGCAGATCATCAAGGCGCGTGAGCACTGTCACAGATTGAAGAGAGAGAAGAAGAAGGCATTCAAGTGAGAGAAGACAGATTGTAAGACACATTATAATGCCTTGAAGAGGCTCTGTAAGAGAGCAGAATAATAACAATTTTAAGTAACACTTCTGATAGATTTAGACTGAACTAAGTATAGGAATAATGCAGATGACACTGTCTATGAGAGATTGAAGAAGAAGACAGTGAAGAGTCTCATACAGTAGTAGTGAGATCAGAAGAAGTTCTGAGAATGATTTGAGACTAAGATGAAGAGAGAGAGAGAGAAGAAGAGTATTACTATAAATAAGCAGCAGTAGAAGAAGATTGAGAGAATGTTAAAGTGAGAGATAAAGAAGCTAAAACTGATAAGTTTTTTATTTATTGAGAGATAATGATTTTTGATAATACTTCTATTCTCTAATTGATTAGCAGAAGCTGACAGAGAAGAAGAGAATTGAGGCCTTGTTCAGGTCTTGAATGCACTTCATGATTCAGAACATTGAGAAGACAGCTCTGCTCTCTGAGTATGTTAATCTACTTACTGCTGAGGTGGAACCTGAGGCAGCAGATCAGAAAATGCAGAATTTTGAGATGCAGGTTGACCTAGCTGAGAGGGAGCAGTGAGAACTCTTCTCTGAGAAGGCAGTGAAGAGAGATTTTGAGATGATTATCATCTCAGATGAGAAGAAGAAGAAGGAGAAGAAGAATGAGAAGTGAATTATGAAGAATAGTAAGAAGAATGAGAAAGAGAAGAAAGATGATGAGTAGAAAAAGTTTTTTTCTTTTTATATTAGTTAGTTGTAAGTTCATAATTATTAATAATTGAAATTAATTTTGAGTTTTTAAAAATTATTGTACAAGTTGTAATCAAGTCAGGAACAATATATATATATATATATATATTTAACTATCATGATTCACAAATCACTATAATGTATAAGTATTAACATTTTTTCAACATTGATATTCACAATATTAATATATTTTTAATGATATTATCTGATAACATAATTTAGTAATGCTCTCTTTCATAATATTAATATATTTCAAGAAATATGACAGAGATTAATCAAGATTGTTTATTTACTTTTATACATTGATAATATTTAATCTGAGTTAGTACTAAAATTATAACTAAGCTAAGAAACAAGATTATTTTCTCTTATATTAATTCTTCTTACACACATCAGTGATCAGTTATTGAAAATAAATTATCATCTTTCTTAAATTATTATCATGTCTTCTGAATTCACTTGTTTCACTTCTTTTACTTCTATTGAAGATTCACAAACTCTTCAAGAAATCACTGTAAATCACAAAGTCTATGTTGTTTATAATTCAATACAGAATGCTCTCTTTCAATCATGATGAATAATCACTTTATTCTTCACATCTGATTCCAGGTCATGAAATTTATAAAAAACTCAACACAAATATTGAGATGAACTATGAAATAATTATCAACAGATTGTATTGCAGATTACTGAAGAGTCATCTCTCTGCTACAATCACTGTAACTTCATTCAGAAACATTCATCATAAACTGATTATAGCTCTGAAGAAATTTTCTGACATCTGAAGTCATCAGAATGCAGACAATAAAAGAAAAATAATCAGAAAATTACTACTGAGCTGATAAGTTACTCTATCAGATAATGATTTTTGATAATACTAACTTTCTAATTTGAAGAAAATCATGTAAAAATGACTCTGTATCAGTACTCTGATTTCACAACTCTCATCTGATAACTTCTGTAAATAATTACTTCACATGTGTATATCTCTGAATCTTTCTCTTTGATCAATTAAAAACCCCGAATTCTGAACACTTCTTTAAATGCTTAATTCAAATCTTCATATTTTACATTGATTCTGTCTTCAGTCCAACCTTGAGACACACTACAAAGTCAATATACAATATCTAGGATCAGAGTTGAAGAATCATCAAAGAGTGTCTCTCACAGTGAATGTATAAACTAGTACAAACAATCTTGTATTTATGAAAGTTATATGTTATTACATTGATGAGAACTGAACTTATTGAGAGATATTAATTGAATTTGAATCATTGATCAGTAGTCATACTGAGAATTATATAGCAGAGATATTAATGACTGTGATTAAAAATGACTATTGAGATATTAGTTTCAGTCTTCTTGCAATTACAACTGACAATGCTGTGAATAACTACACTATGATGAAGAGCTTGAAGCAAAAATTAGCTTTGCATTTCTGAAATGATAAACAAGGTTATATCTTCTGCATTGCTCATGTGGTTCAACTTGTGATGCAAACACTGGTAAAGAATCTTAACATTGAGGTGAAGAATAATGAGATGGCTGGTTCTTGAAATGAGAATGAGGTGAAAGTGGTTACTTGTAACGTGGCGGAACCGAAGCGGTGGCTAGTCGGCGGCGACACGTAGGGGTAGTTGTTTGAGAAGCCATATAAGTGAGCTTGACTATCTTGCTTAAATAGTGAGCTCGTAGGCTACAGGGTTATTGTGAGAATATCACAGATATGATACTTAGTATACTAAGAAGATTGTATGAGGCACACAGTAACTCTTGTGTATATTTCAGTAGAAGTAAAAATGAATTACTGACTTCTTTCATGAGAAGCCAGCATCTAGCTATTCTATATAGACAATGAATGAATACCTTCTCTCATTTCATGAGTGAGAATAGCTGGAGTGATACCTCAGTGATGTCTCACTGTCAAGGAAAAGTAATCTGCTAACCTTGTATAGAAGTGAGATTCTCATATTCATTAATCAGATCTTTCTATGATATATCTGAATAATATCATAGAGTGATTGAAAACTGATTCAGACAGTCTGTGAGATGAATGAAATCATCTGCATGAAAGTAATGAGATGTGTGAAACTGCAGTGAGGTCTTGACACAGTCAGAAGTATGACAATGCCCTTCTCTTTAAGAGCATAGTCTCTATGCTCTTAAGATTATCAGATTAGAAATTATCTTTGTTGTATAGCAACAGTTGTTAATCAATTTGACAGCATGTGTGCTGTGCATGATATAAAGAAATAGATGAGTTTTTCTACTAATTATATAGGTCTTTCTTTTCTCATCATTGTTCAAATCAAATGTGTGATAAGTGAGTTCCTTATATATTGATTTGAAATGTGAGAAATGTAGTTAATAAGTGACTTGCAGATCTTTCAATATATTTCATTCTATATATAAAATTCCCTGTAAAAGTGGTATGTTTTAGAGACAAAGCTAACAGTAGTAGTAGAATTTTTTTGAAAAGATCTTCTCTCTCTCTGTGATACATTTTTCTCCCCTTCCTCTCATCTGTAATAGTGAGTGCATGAGAGTATCATTCTTGAAGAACAGTAGAGGACTTATTCTGATGTTTTCTAGTGAGTAAACATCTTTGTAATGCAGCGGCGGCCTCCGTGACTGCCAAGAAAGCCAGGTTGAAGGTGAAGGTGATGATGTCAATGAGCCACAGAAGCATCACTTTCATTATCACATCTTCTTCTTCTCCTGCTTCTTTTACAGCTGCAGTGATAGTCACTGCATCTTGCAGTGAGATGTTATTCCTTCTGCCAGTCAGTTCATTCATATCTGTTCTGTTCTCTGCCTCTCTCACTGCTGTCATGATGCTGCTCCTCTCTTCAGTCAATACAGTGACATATGACTCTGTGTGATTATTCAGAGAGGAACCTGAGAAGAGTTTAGTTCTGAGAACAGTGACTCTGAGAAGCTCAATTCATAGTTTCTCTCCTGCAGCATGTCTGAGCCCTGCTCAGAATACTGCTGAGTTGAGTCTGCAGAGTTCTGCAGTTTCTTCATCTTCTCTCTATGAGAAGGCTTCAGTGTGATCTCTGACTGGCACTGCTACTTGTCTATGCTGTATTAAGCAGCTGAAGAAGAGAGAGATCTTATACATCTGTCTCTTCTCTCACTTCTGTTATTTTCATTGTATCTGTAACAATGACTTCTGTCTCTCTGTAAGTATTATCTCACAGGAAGACATTGTGTCAGCTCTGATAAGAAGTCTAGATGCTCAAGCAGTACAGAGTGAGAGTCTCAGAGCTTCAAGTATTGACAGATTTCATCAAGGCTGAGAAGATCTCTCTTACTCATCTGCAGAAGAAGATGAAAGTATGAGTCTCTGAGATGAAAAAACATCTCAGAATGACTAGTCTCAAGAAGAGATCAGTCAGTGCTATCATTGAAAGTGTCATAAAGATCAATCACTGATTGAAGAGAATCTCACTTCAGTTGAAGCAGATGACTGAGATGCTTTATAAGTTAATAAGTTAATACTTTCAGCATCTTTCATACTCTTCTGCAGTATACTCTTCTGCAGTGCTGCAGTACTAACTTCTCAGCAGATAAAGATACTGATACTGAAGACTTCAACAGTGAAGAATGAGTTTGATGAAGATATGATTATTGATAAGTAGACTCTGATCTCTCTTTTTACTTTTTCAGCAGGCTGTGACTCTATTAGAATAGCAGTGATCTGCAGATCAATAATATTAATCTTTTTATTAATTTCTAATATCTCTTTTCTCTAACTGCTTCAGAAATTTTACACTTGTGTAGTCTCATTAAACTTCTAAAAACTCTTTAAGAGAAAATAGAAGAAGAGTGCTACAGAGTCTATAAGACATCAGCTTATCACTGTGAGATCATCTCTAAAAAACTCTTTGAAAAAAATGAGAAGTCTCAAGCAGTATTTCTTACTCAACATCTCTGATGTGTAACAGAACAGTCTCTACTAGCTGTCTCATAGATTGCAATCTCTTTCTCAGCATTTTTCAAATACTCAAGCAGTTCTTATGAATTCTCTGATGATAAATAATCTTTTCATTTAATAAGGTATTGAAGCTTGCTGTAATGTGTTCACTTGTTCAATATTTTCTTCACAAGATATTCAGTATCACTCTTGATCTTGATATCATTCAGCTGAGATGACTCCACCTCAGAGTGTTACTTATAGAGCTTTAAATAGAAAATGTGAAAAACAGGATGAATTGATTTCAATTCTGTGAGTAATTTTAACTCATATATCTGCTTACTCATCACTCTTGTTATCAGAAAAGATTCTAGTCATCACTCACTGAGCTTCTTACATGATCTTGTTATCTTGATATTCTTTGCTGAAAGTAGCACTTGATTCTCTATCAAGAACTTCATTGAAAGATGTTTTTAATTATAGTATTTCATCTATCACTTCTGAACACAGTGAATGCTTTTCACTGCCTTCTCATGAATTTTGTTCAAAAGTTTCAATCTCACTTTTACTTCTGACACTGAGAGATACTTCATTCTCTGTATCTGTTCAACATTCTGACTGTCTATTCCTCTCTTTGAAATATTGTCTGCGATGTCACTGAGTAATGAAGAATTATATTCATAATAAGCATAGAAAGAAGATATCTTTAAGATTGCATTCTTTACATTATTATATATGAATTCAGCAGTTAGAAGATGTTTGAGTCAATCATTCTGATAATATAAACAGAACACTTAAAGATGCTGTTCTAGTGTCTGATTCTGATATTCAGTCTGACCATTGATCTGTGAATGAAATGTAATACTGAGAAGACATCTTATCATAAGATGATAGCAAAAAGTCAATCAGTACTTGCTGATAAAGAGAGATTCTTGATCTGTTATCAATAATTTCAGAGCACTGTGATCACAAATGATGATATCTAAAAACAGGTCAGTCAATTCAGAGGCTTTAATCTTTTTATAAGTAGAGATATATCTGGTCATCTTCATAAAGCAGTTAATAATAACTAAAATTGAGTCATATTCTTTGACTCTTGTTGACTTCAGCAGATCAACTATGAAATTCATCAATAGGTTCTGCCATGAGCTCTTTGAAACAGGCAGTGATATCAACTCACTGTATTACTTATGCTGCAGAATCTTTATTCTTTGACAGATATCACAAGTCTCAACATACTCTTTAACATCTGCTTGAAGCTTGTCTCAAGTATATTTACATTTTAGAAGCTTCTCAGTCTTCTCTAATCTGAAGTGTCTCACATGAGAATCATTATGATAAATTCTCAATAACTCCTGACACACTGCTCTGTTACAAGGGATGAAGACTGAATCATTCAGCAGTAGAAGTTCACATTCTTCTAGTTATCAGCAACTTGATTTCTTAGCAGCATCACCCTGCTCAGAGTCTGTCTCTTTCAAGTTCAAACTGAATTCTTTCTTCTTCAACTTCTGAATTTAAGCTGCAGTAGAGATGTCCCTCTTCTATAACTTATCAATGAATTTCAAAAGTAGTCAGATTAAAAGATTGTAGATCATTTCATTCTTTATCAATTCAATAATTGTAAGATGTGATACAAGAAGCTCATGATCTTCAGTGTCAGTCTCCTGCAAGGACCTGGGTTCTCTTTCACCTTCTATACTGAGTCACACAGCTGCCTCTTCAGTGCTGTTCTCAAGCTTTAGAGAACTTCAACCCCCTGCAGCCAGCTTCTTCTGCAGTGATGACAGAGATTCTTTTATAGAATTCTTCTTCACATTAATGATATTATAATCAAGTCATCTAGACAGTGTATCAGCAGGGTTAAGCTGACCTGAATAATATTGAATATAGAAATCATACTCTGAAAGCAGCTCTGCTCATCTGGCTTGACATTCTGTTAAGCTCTTTGTTGTCAAGAAGTAATGCAGATTTGCATGATCAGTGAGAACTTACACTGAGTACTTACTACTCTGAAGATAATGTTATCAGATCTTAAAGAATTCAACAATTACTAACATCTTCTGATCATAAGTATCATACCTTCTCTGCATGAGTGATAACTTCTTGAAGAAGAAAGTCACTGATCTTCATTCACAGTATCTTATAGACTCTGTGAAAAAGTCTTCTCTCACAGATAATTCATTGTCTGTTTTCTCAGAGATGATTATTCTCTGATTCTTTCAATGTTGAAAGATCTTCAGTGTTAACTGTGAAAAGATTTCACAGATCTCATTCTCAGATGCATCAGTCTCACACTGACTGAGTAAGTCAGAGTTAAAGTGATTCAGCATCATGACATCTGTGAAAGCTTGTTTCAATTCTGCAAATGCCTGGGTGGCATCTTGAGTGAGAATAAATAGTCTCATTTTTCTGTCTTTCACACTTCTCTTTAACAGATCTGTAAGAGAGACAGTAATTCATGAATATGCATAGATGAATCATCTGTAGAAATTCACAAATTCTAGAAATATCTGCATCTCATGGTACATCTGCAGCACTGACTAGTTCTCAATAACAGAGACCTGACTTCTGTTCATTGAAATGCCATTCATCTTAACAATATAATCTAAGAAATCAATCTCCTGCATGTAGAATGAGCATTTTTCAGTGTTTGTATAGAGTTGATACTGTCTCAAGCAACTCAACACTTCTTGAATATGAGTATCATATTCTTTCTCTGATTTCAAGAAGATTAAAATGTCATTCAGATATACTATGCAGAAGATGTTGACAAGGCCTCACAGCATCTCATTTATATAGGTCTGAAAGATGACTGAAGTGTTACAAAGATCAAAAGGTAAAACAAGATATTCAAAATTGCTGTACTTAGTATGAAAAGCTGTTTTTCAAACATTGTCTTCATTAACTCTGATTCTATGATAGATATCTTATATATCAATCTTCAAGAACATCTTTGCTTCAGATAATCAATCAATCATCTTGTTAATTAACAGTAATGAATAGCAATTCTTAACTATTATCTTATTGAGACCTCTGTAGTCTATGCATAGATGTAGTCTATCATCCTTCTTGAGCATAAAGAGTATAGATGTCTCTATCAGACTCTTTGATGAATATATTCAGTTCTTTGATTGCACTTCTTCAAGATATTTGCACAGAACATTCAACTTCTTTACAGACAAGTTGTAAAGAGGCCTGTACAGTGCTGTTGCATCATCTTCAAGACAAATCTTATATTATATCTTGATATCAGGAAACTTCACTGCTTCCCTTTTCAAAAAGACATTCTTAAAATCTGTAAAGAGACATTGTATATGTCTGTCTTCAATGAGAGATACTGCTGCTAATCTTGCAGTGAGAATGATAACTTCTTCATCTGTCTTCAAGTCTCAATCACCTGCTACACAGTATATTGACTCAATCTTTTTCTCAAGATTCTTCTGATGAAACTCTTCAGATTTCTCTATCACTGTCTCTTTATCAGTGAGGCAGTACTGCCATGTCTGAGTGACTCAGTCAATGAGAGAATTGTTTTCTCTCAATCATAAGAGACCTAGAATGACATCCTCATCTATGATATTAACTGTGTGAAGGAGAAGACTGCTCTTCTTAAAGATTTCTTCTGAGTCTGTGATCACACACTTCACTTGAATTATGCTAAAATGATGACATTTCATTTCATCAGTAAATTTCATATGACCTGACAGATCTATCTTCTTTCAATTCTTTATCAAAGAAAAGAAATAGAATATGAAGTTAACATTCATCTCAGAGTTGAGTAGACATCTCACTGATATCTTCTCATTCAGAGTATGTATTGTAATTGTAACATAAACTCAGAGATGTGAGAATTATCAATTCTTTTCTTTCTCTTCTTTATCTTCTGTGAATACATTTGTCAGAAGAGAAGT